CCCCGCGGCAGGACAAGCCTCTTCCCCCAAAGCTGCCAGCAGCACAGAACAACGTGACGCAGCTTCCCTCAGCCAGTGAGAGCCCCCGCGCCCGCCTGCCCAGGGCAGGGGCAGATGGGACCTGCAGCCCGGTGCAGCGTAGGAGCCAGTCTGCCCCGGGGAGTCTTCAGCCTCTCCCCAAGGAGGGCCCCTCGCACACCAGCCTGCCTTCGCCCAGCTCCAGCTGCCCCCGCCCCTCCAGGCCAGGCTGTCATGCCCACCTCCATTCCTCTTCCTCCTTGGCAGGGCTCTGGCTCGGGAGTCTACCCAGCAGCTCCTCTCCGGAGCAACCTCCAGCCCAAGGGCATCTCCCTTCACTCTGCTGTGGATGCTGGCTCTTGACTGTCCCCAGCCAGCTCTTCAGATAAATGATAGCTGAAGTGGCTCAGGATTGGGGTGGGGCGCAGATGGCATGCTGTCTTCCCATTGCACCCACCCTTCCCCATCTCCATTGCCGCACTGGTGTTTCTACTCCCTGGGGACACCGCACCGGCTACTAGGGGACAGTCACGTGTTTGCATTAAGAAGAGGGTGCTGGGGCCAGCTGCTGCATCCATTCCCAGCTCTGTTACAGGCAAGACCCTTATGTCACCCCTCAGGTACTGCTCACTGCACCACCCCGTGGGTAGGACACTGTTCTCAAGGCCTGTACGTGAACGCTGTTGGCCAAGCCCCGGGTGCGACGGGTCTCTACTCACATCTGCTCTTTAAAGGTTGTGAATTTAGCTCTTGAATAAAATAGCTTATCAACCCGCACCCCAGGGTGACTCTGCTGTACACGGCTGATCCAAGGGTCTTTCTAGAAGCATGCTGCCGTTAAGGAAATCACTGTACATCACATCGCTTGGAAAATGCCCATTGCAAAGAGAACAAAACATAGATGGTTTCTCCCATCTATGCAGGGACTGGCCTTTGAACGCAGCTAGTGTTACTGCTGCTTTGAAAGAGGTGGTAAAAGGAAAATGGTGGGCTGAGAAAAACCTCAGTCCATGATTCCTGTGCTCAAAATGTGACAGGAGGCGGCTGTGGCATTTCTTCCATTCTGCCAGCCAAAGTAAGTGCAGGACCAAGCCTAGTCAGAGTCCCAGCTGGTGCTGTAAGGGAGGTAGATCACCGGAGGGGGCTCCTGCTACTTGAAAAGAAAAGCTGCAGCAGGGCTGGCCCCAAGCGGGTGAAAGCAGGTGAACCTGGGCCAGTTGCTGGGAGCAGGCAGCCAGGGACCCATAGGCTGCAAGTGCCTATTAGCAAGAGGACAGTCAGGCAGGGCCTGGGCAGGCAGCTCGGGCTGGCAAGGCACGCCAGGCACTCCCAGGGCTGAGACAGCCAGAGTGGGGAGCAGGCTTCTGCAACAGCAGGATGGCTCTGAAGGTCCTTGGGGACTTGAGTTTAATATGGCTGCTTGTATTTGTGGTGCAGTTTATACCAGCGGAGCGGCTGTGGGGTGGAAAGCAGGCCACAGGGGGTCCACCTGAGGGGTCCACCAGGTTTTGAGTCCGCCAGGGGCAGGGGCATGAGACAGAGCAGGCTGAGGCTGAGAAGGCCAGAGCCTGACCCTGAGAGCAGGGCAACAGAGGTGGCCTGAGGCCAGGAGGACCGGAGTCTGAGCCCAGAGCGGGTGACAAGCAGGCTGTGGCTGATGAGAGACTGAAAGGCCAGAGCAAGTGGGCTCAGGCTACCACTCTACAGCCAGAGTAACTTGGAGGATAAGGCTAAGGAGGCCAAAGCCTCTGCAGGAAGGTAAATGGCGACAAAGCGATACCTGTGGGGCTACAGAGGAGGATGGAGGCCACAATTAAGAGCCCTCAGGCTTAATTAGGGGCAATAGGGCCATGGGCAGTGACCACTGGCTCAGAGCAGTGCCAGCTGGGCACCGGTAGGTTGCCAGGGCTCAAGAGACAACCGCAGAGAACTGCAAAGTTTCAGGTTAATGGGCAGAGGGCCCAGAGACCCCAAAGTCGATTTATGTTGATTAGACACTCGAGCAAGCACTCTGGGACTCGGCAGCCTCCCAACTGATATTAAAATTTCATCTAGGCATGGCAGATTGCCTCAGCACAGCTCTATGCCAGTCCCCACTCCCAGCTCCATCTCTCTGGGCAGGATGGCCAGGAGCTGCTGCAGCACCAACTGCTCCAGGATCTGCTCCCACAGTCCACTGGCCTCCTGGCTGAGCCGAGCCCCTGGGTTTGTTTGGATAAGCAGGGGAGGTTATATACAGGTCTGGGATTTAAGGCAGGATTAGGGTGCTGCCCTGGGGGTGCCACTGCCCCAAGACCCATCTTGACAGGCCTAGAAGGGAGTTTGCTCTACCTCTGCCTGGCCCTTTGAGCTTGGCAAGAGGCCACCGAGCTCATCATGGCAGTGGGTTGTGTGACCACTGCAGTGCTGGCACCAGGCTTGACACTACAGAGAGCAATGGAGATGCCGGTCTGCTAGAAATCTAGGTCCCCAGACTCATTTTACGCATACCCACTGTTGAACACAGCCTGCTG